GAATGTAAACTGTAATTGGAAAATAATTTTGAGAAACAGTGCCCTATGGCAGTGATTCTCCATATGTAGTCCTTGATTAAAAATGTACATTTTCAGACCCACCCCAGGGGGACCTACTGAATTGGAAATTATGGGGGTGGAGCCCAGGATTCTACTGTTTAACAAATCCTCCAGGTGATTCTGGTGGGCACTAAAGTCTGCAAATGACTGCTCTAGAGAATCTCCATGGCATACAGGTCTAGGAATCCATATCTTTAACAAAGTCTCCTAAGACATATTTCAGGAAACATTAACATGGAGGATTTAAAAGTACTTTGAAAAGTGTGAGTGACTTTCCAGGTGGTAAAAGATTATTTTCATTAGGAGGAAACATGTTAAACAATAATAACAAAGATCACTAATTACTAAGCCCTTACTTGTGTTTCTGAGTGTAATTGCACAGTATCAGTCTTCATTCTCACAAAGAACCCATGAAGGAAGTTAAGAGGATGGACTCTGAAGCCAGATGACCTGATTTATGCATCTGTAAAGTGAGGATAATGAAGGTACTTCCCTTGTAGATTTGTTGTGAGAATTTAACAAGCTTATTGATCAGCTCTTAGAACATCTGCCAGGTTGTGTAAGCTATTTTCATCATCCCTAAATTCACCCTTGTAAAAGGTAGATTTGAACCCGATCAATGTTAACCCCAGAGTGTACTATAATCCAGTGTTTTTCAAAGTGTGATCCTCCACCAGTAGCACACCACAGAGCTTATTAGAAATGCAAATTATTACAATAGAACCCATCCCAGATCTACTGAATTAGAAACTCTGGGGGTGGGGTCCAGCGGTGTAAGATTTAACAAGTCCTTCGGGAGATTTTGATTCACACTGTAGTTTAGGGACCACAGTTACAGACTTTAGAGATTATGCTGTTGGTGGGGGTGGGTTAAAACAAAAGCCTAGAGATGTCGTGAGCAACTCAAGAGCCCCTCTCACTTGGGAAGGCAAGCAAACCAATCTAGCGTCGTCCACTAACCCCCTGCCTGTTCTGGAGGGCACAGACCAGTGCGCAAGGCCTTCTGGGGATTGTAGTGAGAATCGGTCCAAATCCGGAGGCGCCTGCGCATTGGCCGCCAAGTCGCTCTAGTCGCTGTAGTCGGGTCTTCGTACCGGCTGCCATCTTAGTCGAGGGACTGAAGAGTCGCCGCCGCCCCGAGTCCCGGTAAACACCCACTGGCGGACTGGGGGCATTTCTGGGGAGAGGGGGGAAAAGAGTCTCGGAGGAGAATGAGGAATGGAGGAATGCGGCGCGCAAGCCTTAACCAAGAGCCGCGGCTGCTCCCTCTTCCCTCAGAGCCGGTGCCCATTGGGGGCGCGGAGACCTCGGGCTAGTGGCTGCGGCCGGGTTGGGGGTGGGACGGCCGGACGCGCCGAAGGGCCACTGTCGGGCTGAGACTCTGGAGCTTCTTGGCGCCCCGCGAGCGCCAAGTTATGAGAGGGATGGGCCGTGGCGAGAACCGTCAGGGTCCAGCCCTCCGCCCCGCAGGATCCTGCCCGCGGCCATCCTCTCGCGGCCCGGTCTTAACGCGGGGTCCGGCGGCAGCGGTCGGCGCGGGCGACGTGGCCCTTTAAGGGGCGGTGGCTGGGCCCACCTGCCACCCGGCTGGTCTTCCCGAGAGTTTTTGGAGCCCACAGTCGTGTGGGGGGCCTAGCACAGAGGCTGCTTCCCCTTGTTTCTGTGTTTCCTCCCTCCATTGTCCTCCAGCGTGGTGGTCCCGGCCCGGGCGCCCTCCTTGGTGCCCGCTTCTACCGCGGCCCCGCTGGCGCCTCCCGGCACTAAGTTTTGCAGACGTGGAACTGTCACTGTCCTCCCTCCTCAAAGTGCCCTTTTCTTTAGTAGAGAAAAGAAATGAGTAGCCGTGAATGTATTCTAAGGGCCGAAACAGGATGAGGACATTGAGTTGGTGAGGAACTCAAGTTTTCAGACTTAGTTCCGAGTCGCGATTTACAGAGATAAAACACACGGTCTGTCCGCTGAGGTTGGGCCTGAAGTTAGAGATGTAACCAGGTGAACTTGCAAACTACCCGAAATTCATGATTTCCCAGTAACAACTCAACCATTTTTCTTGGTTATATTCTATCTTAATGTTGTTACATTTTATTGGGGGGAGTGAGGGGTGGAGAGGGAAGAATGGAATTTTTCTTTGAAAATGACTGAGGTACTGGAGTCAGCCGCATATCACTACACTAATTTGGGGTCTCTGACGTCTATTCCTAATGCAAATCGATCTTATGGAAGTATGTAAAGGTTGTATGCATTTCTACCCTCAAAATCGGCCAAGGGTTTTTACTCAGCCAAAATAAAGTTCTTGTGGCAGATCTGGTGAGAAAGCCTGCATTGTGTATTCATGGGTTTACTCACTTAATTTTTAATATTTAGATATGAAAGTGGAAATTCAACCACTTTTTTGAACAATGAATGTAAATTTTGGAGATGTGTGTCGAAAAGGAATTCCTTCATCTTCAGCATGAGCCGGGTCAACAAAAACATGACATGAAAACAAAAGAAAAACCAAGTGCAGAATACTTCCCTAGTGTAGTCTAGTGTAAATTATTCCTACATTCCTTAAACACACACACACGCACACACACACACCTTTACACCTACTGGAAGAGAGAGACAAACAAGTAGTACCCAAATTTGACCATTAGAATAATTAGGGGAACTTTTTATAAGTAGAAATTCCAAGGTTTCATCTCCTGAGATTGATTTAGTACCCCTGGGTTGGACCTGCAGAATTTCATTTTAAAACATGCCTCAAGCAGTTGTGATAGCTTGGGGAACCACTGAGGCAAACAACACTGTGAACATAACAAGGACAGCTCAAAAAACTGTGAGATAGAAGAGGAAGTGACCAGTTCTGTCTGAGGTTGCCAGAGGAGGAGGCAGGACCTACCCATGCCCCTAATATGGGTCTTATTGATAAATGATAAGTAAATGTGATAGGGATGGGGAAAGAGAAGAACAGGGCAGGCAGAGGAAGCACTTTAATGCTTTGTCAATGCTGAGGATTGTGGAAGAAAAGTTTCAGGGAACAGAGTGGAGTGGAGAAGGAGAGCATTATGAGATGTGAGGCCAGAAAAGTACAAGGAGGCAATTATGAAAAGTTGTAAGTATAATGCTAAATATCTTGACTAAATATTAATGCTAAATATCTTATGTTGTTAGCAGTAAATATCAAGTTTTAAATAAGGAAGTGATATGAATACATGTGTGTTTTGATAAGTGAAAGGATGGAATAGTGGTTATTGCAGAGGTCTAGGTGAGAAGTGAAGTCTTGACCTTGGAGACAGGCTGCAGGGATGATCAGAGGGTTGGATTTAGTTCTTTACTGGTGCAATATTGTTGGCATAATTTTGGATGATGATTTTTTTTTTAGGGCCAGTCTGGGTAAAGGGTTCCTTTTCTGTCCGCCCCCCCCAAAAAAAAAAGAAAAAAGAAAGAAAAAAACCATTAGCAAATGTAAATAATGTCAGGCTATATATGTTAATGGTATAGGAGTATATTGTTTATTAGCATCTTTCAAAAATTGGAAAGAACCAGATTGGGTTCAATTTAGAGGAGAACTTGGATTTTAGACTGAAATTTATAACTGTCAACATTATTGATCTAAGCCTGTTAGAAGTGTTTTTCTTCCATCCTCAGAAACTTGGTATTAGAAATTTAGAGATTGCAGAGATTATCTAGTCCACAGTGGCAAATATATTTTGTTTTATGGGCCAACTCTGCTTTGAAGTAGCTTCTGGAAGTAATGTGTTGAGAAAGGATTTTCATCCTATGGGTTCTCTGGGAAAGTGAGTTATGATTGATTGGTGATACCTCCTGTGGACATAGTTCTCTAGTGGGAGGTATATGTATCACATATATGCTAGTCTTAGACTAGTCCATCCTTTTAGTTTTCTGGGGTTTTTTGTTTGTCTTTTTAAATAAAGTCTTAAGCAGGTTAAATTATTTACCTAAAACTAGTTAAGAATCAGAGCTAGAAGTAGAACCAAGCTTTGTAACTTTTTCTGGGTTATTTTCCAGTGTACCAAGATGGAAGTGTGCTACTAAAGAGCTTTTGGTATTAGACCAAGAGAAAAAAAAAGGGTTTTCTAGTCTCTGCCTCTTGACTGTTTAGGCAAGAGTTGAACAACGAACTTTAGCCTAGAAGTAAGTTTTGTTGAATTCATTCTGGCTTAAGAAATTTGTGTTAGTACCGATAAGAATTAGTTAACTGGTTTTTTTTATTATTTTCTTATTTTTCGTCTCTCAATTTTAGGTTTTGGGGGTTGGTTTCCTTTATACAAGTTAAGGCAAAAGTGTATACAGGGTTTTTTTTTTTTTTCTGTATTTATAGTACCTAGTCAAATTCTGGGCTCATAATAAGCGCTCAGTAAAGGCGTGTTGATTTTTGTGGCTGTAAATGATACTGGCTCTGAGTCAATATAAATTAGCAAGGGGGGGTGTTGCGGAGTTGAATTGCAGTATTCTCTGGTTGGGAGGTTGGCACTCAGCTAAAAATGTTCGGTTGGAAACTAGCCTCACAACTAGAAGTACATAGTTAACCAGAAGTTTTTTCTGCTTCTGTCCTTCTTCAGTCTAGCAGTGTACTGACTGTCCTTGGAAAACTGCTGCCAGCTCGGCTCTTTTGCTTCTTTTCAGAACTGACTATAGTCAGATCCTTGGAGTGGTTTTTTAATCCTCCTATTCCTAGGAGCTTCCAGATTGCAGAGACTGTCCTTAGGGTGACTAGAGGTAGAATATGTGTTTATATGGCTACTCTCATTTTTTGCCATGTAGCCATCTTACCCAGAATAACCCACTATGTATGAGTCTCCTGCCTGCCCTGTGAACAATTATCTATCCAGTGAACCTTTAAAAAATACTGTGCTGTCAGATTCCCAAGGTCATTACTAATTTGATGCATTTAACTATAGAAGCAGTGTGTTAATGGACCCTTTTTCCCCTTTCAGGTAACATGCATTTAACAGTGGCCTTCTGGAGACAACATCTTAACCCAAAGAAGTGACTCGTGACTTGAACGGTGAGAACTTCAGGTATGATGGCATGCCTGTGAGAGAGATTGTGGCACAGGAGTGGTGCAGAGGGTGAGCCTTGGTCATATAACTGCTGTGGGAGGCATGGTGATAGAGCACTGTTAATGCTGGCTATATCAGTTAGTTGAAAAAAATAGTTTCTACCTAGATCTGAAACCCAAAGTCTCCCCTATAGGAATTAGCATGTGATCCACACTGTGCTCTTTTTAAAATTTATTTATTTATTTATTTATAGAGGGGAAGGGGAGGAGAAAAAGAAGGAGAGAAAGACGAATGTGTAGTTGCCTCTCGCACACTCCCTACTGGGGACCTGGCCTGCAACCCAGGCATGAGCCCTGACTGGGAATTGAACTGGTGACCCTTTGGTTCACATGCCTGCACCCAGTCCACTGAGCTACACCAGCCGAAGTCATATGGTGCTCTTAATATGGCCCTCTGACTTTTCTGTTTTTCTAGCTTCCTTAGATACACACATACTTTTCCCATTTGTGCTGTTTTATAAACATCTTTGTATACTTGTCTAGGCATTTGCATGTGTATGGTAAAGAAGTGCAGGCATTAAAAAGGCGGCAACATGGTGCAGTGGAAAAAAAATGGAGGACTTGGAAAGATTAGGTCTGGGTTCTCATTTGATTTTTGCCACTGACAAACTGACTTTTCACAAATTACTTAATCTTTCTGGGACTCAGTTTATATTTCCGAAATAGATGTATTTTTACCTGCCTCCCTGGCATTGTTGTAAGGATCAAATAAAGTAATACATATTAAATCTGTAGAAAACAGGAGTTTATAACTTAAGACATTATCTAGATCTACAAAGGGGAGAAGTTGGCAATAATAGTCAAAAAGAATATATGAGGACTGTACAGATTCAATTTAAAAGATCAGGAGAGAGGAAAGGAAGACTACTGGATTAAAAAAAGTAGAACATATAAAAAGACAGCAGTAAGAGAACAGGGAGTAAGTGAAGTAGAGCAGATGAATTGATAGGTAAGGAAGCTGAGTAAGAAGAGAGTGGCCCCTTTCCCTTGCCTAACCTTTACCTTTCTGTTTGTTGTCATTACCACTTCCCTTCACATAAATGTTCTTGTCTCCACTGTAAACATCAATATTTATTATTCAGTCATCTTTAGGAACCTCTGTTTATTTTATTTTTTGTTAACTAATTGCCAAGACTGTGATTTGCTTATTATGGTGTCCCAGTACTATAATCAAATGTGTGCATAATCTGTTCTTTTTTATAATTGTGGAGAAAAAACAAGGAGATGATGGGATGATATGTGAGAGATAGTAGGAAAAAGAATGAGTAAGAAGAAAAGTAGAAATGGTGAAAGGAAGAATTCTTAGAATCTGACAGTGAAAGGAAAGACATGAACATGAAAAGTATATATGTAGAGAAAAAAGGGAGGGAAAGGAGATGCTGTTATCTGCAGTAAAGAAGCATGGCAGCTTTCATTTATTTAATGGTGATGTAATATCTCACAAAAACTTACATTCTGGGAAAGATCATTCTCCATACCAAATTTCTTTAAAATATTTCTAAAAGTATCCACTTCATTCTGAGCTCACAAAGTACTTCTCTGTGGAAAGAAAGCTGGGCGAACATTCAGAAGACCTGGGTTCTAGCCTTGGGTTGCTTGTTACTTAAATTCTGTGATCTTGGGCAATTCACTTAAATCTCTCTGGGCCTCTGTTTCCTCACTTGTGTATTCAAAGTATTAAACATGATCTCTCAGGTTCCTTCTAGCTCACTCTTTGATTATACTTAGTACTTCCTGTACTAGTTCACTAATTTTTCAGGGGCTTTGTTGATAACACAATATAGGACTGGTTTCAGAAATATCTCATAGTAGTACTTCATAATATCCAGTGCTTTATAACTGAGAAGCATTTTAAGCTCTATTTTGAACATAAGTAGAAAGACTCGTAGGGAACCCAGGTAAAGAAATGTTAAGTTTGTAATATTCAGCAAGCATTCATTGAGCTCCTGTTGTGTTAAGTCCCAAAGGTTGCTTAATACAAAACCCCTGCCTCAAGGATTTTCTGTTTTTGTCAGGAAAACACACTTACCAGTAATTATTGTAAAAAGCAAGATGATATAATAAGGATTGCATTGAATTGCAGTTTAAGATATTAACTTTGGGTTTCTTGTTTCTAACATAATTGAATATATATGTTAAGAGCTGCTTTATGCTAGGCATTACAGGGACTCATGATGAAAAAGCAGTCCCTGCCCTAAAGAAACTTGCATTTTATTTCATGTCTATAAACTGTCTACCCTGATAGATAGAAAAAGAAGTTTTGTACATGGAGCTTTTCTCACTCCAGAAATGCCTAATAACATACATACTTTCTGAGAGTTTATTGGATTCCTTAACCCTTTCTCTGTCAATTACAGAGAATTTTTTTCTTGTAAAATAAGGAAAAAATCCATAAATGCCATCTGCATTTGGGTGAACTTTGGTTTACTACTTAGTTATTTGTGCAAAGAAAGACTAGACTCTAAAATTTAGTGTTTTGATTCTTTGTTTCAGAGAATGAGTTTAGTTCGTCACAGAGGAAAGGATTCTAGTCTTAAGGAATCATATAGGGATTAACAGTGTATGCTACAGTTAGATTGTCTGATTTTGAATTTTGGTTCTACCATGTATTGGCAGTATGACTTTGACCAAGTTGCTTAACTTCTCTGTGCCTTAGTTTCTTCATTTGTTGTAAATTAGGAATGGTAAAAGCATATGTCCATAGTGTTGTGTGAATTAAATGAGATAATATATATATATATATATATATATATATATATATATATATATATATTTTAGGGTCCCCTTTTTAAAAAAGATTTTATTTATTTATTTATTTATTTTTAGAGAGAGGGGAAGGGAGGGAGAAGAGGAGAGAAACATCAGCGTGTGGTTGCCTCTTGCGCACCCCCTACTGGGGACCTGGCCCACAACCCAGGCATGTGCCCTGACTGGGAATCAAACTGGTAAACCCTTTGGTTCATAGGCTGGCACTCAATCCACTGAGCCACACCAGCCAGGGCAGAGTCCTTTTTTTAAAAAAAGTATATTTTATTGATTATGCTATTACAGTCCCAGTTTTCTCCTTTTACCCCCCTTCACCTGGTGCCCCCCCTTCCCCTGCAGCAATCCCCCCAGTTAGTTTGTGTCCATGGGTCGTGTGTATTAGTTCTTTGGCATCTCCATTTCCTGTACTATTCTTAACATCCCCCTGTCTATTTTCTTCCAACCAATTATGCTTCTTAATCCCTGCACCATTTCCCCCATTCTCTCCTTTCCCCATCCCAGCTGATAACCCTCCAAATCATCTCCATACCTATGATTCTGTTCCTGTTCTGGTTTTTTGCTTTGTTTTTTTTTTTTTTTAATTATGTTTTATTGATTATGCAATTATAGTTGTCCTGATTTTTCTCCTTTTGCCCCCCTTTACCCAGTGCCCCTGACTCCCTCAGGCAATACTCCCACCATTGTTCATGTCCATGGGTCATACATATAAGTTCTTTGGCTATTCCTTTTCCTATACTGTACTTTACATCCCCATGGCTGTTCTGTAACTACCTATTTGTACTTCTTAATCCCCTCACCTTTTTACCCATTCTCCTGTCCCCTGCTCCCATCTGTCAACCCTCTGGTAGCTAACTTCTTATCTCTTGCTGCTGTTAAGAGTCTCTCTTTATTTTTAACAGGCCTTTTAATCATGAAGTGTTTTGGAGTGGCCCTCTTTGCATCTATCATAATTGGGACTCTCTGTGTTTCCTGGACTTGCAAGTCTATTTCCTTCACCAAATCAGGGAAATTTTCTTTCACTATTTTTTTCAGATAGATTTCCAATTTCTCCTTCTTTCTCTTCTCCATCTGATACCCCTATGATGCAAACATTGGACCTCTTGAAGTTGTCCCAGAGGCTGTTTATGCTATCCTCATTTTTTTTTTATTATTTCTTTTTCTTGTTCTGATTGGTTATTTTTGCCTGTCTTATGTTCCAAATCATTAGTTTTATTCTGGGCTTCATCCACTCTGCTGTTGTTTCCCTATAAATTGTTCTTTATTTCAATTAGTCCACAGGTGGCAAATACAAGATCCTGCGGGCTGAATCCGGCCCTCCACCTTGTTTTATCTGGCCCAGCACCTTGTTTCTACCCGGCAGCAGCACCGAGCTCTTGCTTAACTGTTAAGGAGTAATTACATTTATACAGTTCTAAAGTTACATTCGGTCCTTTGAAGGCAACTGTGAGACTGATGTGGCCCCTGGTTAAACTGAATTTGACACCCCTGAATTAGTCTATCCTTTGTTTCTGACTGGGTCTTTTTTATGCTGCTGAGGTCTTCACTAATTTCCTTGAACATCCTTGTAACCAGTGTTTCGAACTTTGCATTTCGTGTACAGCTTATTTCCGTTTCATTTAGCTCTTTTTGTGGAGTTTTGATCTTTCATTTTGGCCATGTTTCTTTGTCTCCTTGTTGGTAGTGCTGCTTTGACTTGGTGTCTTGGTAGTGTGGCCCAATGTGGTAGGTGTCCTGTAGGGTTCAGTGGCATGGCCTTCCCTACACCCAAGCTGGGTACTTGAGGTGCACCCTCCATGTGGGCTGAGTGCAACCTCCTCTCATCGTTGAGCCTTGGTTGCTGTTGGCAGATCAGTGGGAGGGATTTATCCAGGCCAGTCAGCTGCAAGGACTGGCTGTGACCACTGATCACCAACCTCTGCCCTCTGTGGAGGATCAGCTGTGCAGGGGCAGGGTGATTGTACTCTGAACGTGGTCTGTAGCTGTCCACTGGGTGCACTGGCCCTGAGGATTCCCAGGTGGTGCAGGCCAAGGTCAGTCTCCACCTATTTTTCCCATTGGGGCACCTTGCCCGAGCTGTAAAACAATCTGAGATGGTTGCTGCTTGTGCTGTGCTTAGAGATTCCCAGGTGAAGCCAAGCTGTGAATCTCATATGGCTGCCACTAGGGCTAACTGAAGCCAGTAGGATTTAGGAG